AATATCGTTATTGTGCTTGCGTTGATAAATAGTCAAAATTATTGTCCAATTCGTAATGATGATCGGTCAGATTTAGCCACTAACGTGGCTAAATCTAATTGATCGTCATTACGAATTGGACAATAATTTTGATATTAATCGTTGCAAAGAAGGATTATGGCCTGTTGACAGCGAAAACATTTGTAAATAAAAGGAACTCTACTCTAAAATACGTTTTAAATGAGTAAGAGAACGGATTAACTGAAGGAGGAGTGGAATTTTATTATTTGGAGTGATTATTTTTGCAAGAAAAATATGATGCTAACTGTTTGGTTCTAACTATTTAAATTAGTTGTAAGTGTGGGGATATTTTAATCAATTTGAGTTGTCATCTAGTTCGTATAAAATGCAGATAACTATATTAATTTGCTTTCTTATTTAGAAGGGTTTATATGTTCAACAAAATAATGTTTCAATTCATCAAGCAACAGAAAAAATATTGATCAGAAAATAATTGGGATAAATTAGAATGTCATATTGCGACGGAATTATTCAAATTGTTGCAGAAGGAATGGTTTAAATAAGATGTCCAAATTTGGTTAAATGTATTGTAAGCTGTAGGGTATCCTACGTATTATAAATTGGTGTAAATAAAATTTAATGTATATAATTTTCAATAAAAATTTTGGGAGTAAATCGATATGTAAATTGTTGAGATTTAAATTAGAAATTCTATATTAATAATAATTTTCCATGGAGCTTACAATTTATTATTTTCTAAGATAAATTCAATTTTGATAGTTCGTTGCTAAATGCTGCTAAATGAGGTTTAGAAATGATTAAAATATATGCAAATGCTTTATACTTCATATGAATGAAAGATCAATTATATCTTTTTTTTGCTTACAATGACAAATCAAATTTTTTGAAATTTTGTTTCCGAAATGCTTTCCTAATATCTGTTATATCGAAAATAAAAAAGATAAAATATATTTTTAGAAATGATAAAGGGTCGAGTATCCAAAAATATTCTTGCGTGGGTCAGTTTTATTTTTTTCTTTAGAATTTACGCCTTTTCTTTCTTTAGGTTACTCTTTCGTGTTGGATCACTTCTACAAATATTAGGTAATTTCACCTTTGAAAACTTCAGGCTGCCACGATAGATGATTTGATTTTCCCTTAATTTCCATTTTTTTGATATTAATTATTCTAATATTATTGCTTTAATTTCATTATTTTGTTAAATCGTTGTTTTTCTTTTAATTCATTATTTTTTTTTTTGTTAGACAATTTCAATATTGCTAATGGCGCAGTAATTGCGCCGTATAAAATTAATAGTTACATACATATTTAATATACCTGTTGTATTATTATCTTATCTATATAGTAACGTCGGATTAGAAATTTATAAATAGTTCGATTGTACCTTGGTTGTCGACAGAGTTTCAAGGTTTTGCCATGAGAAAAGGCATAATCGACTTATAGTTCGAAAATTCTATTTACAGAACTTTGTGTAATTGTTTATCACAATTAAAAATAAATGGAGATATGATAGTATTTATTATACAAGCTTAGTTAGATTTAAGTTATGTAAATTTCGTTAATTTTCTCCATTGCATTAGTTCATCATTTTCATTCTTTTTATTCTTTTCGAAAATTTAGTAGAATTGTTTATAAGGTTGAATTTCCCTCAATATAAAATAAGTTTCGTAATGAATTTTCGATTATTCTCAATTCAGAAAGCAGTTAACTTTATTTGGTAAGACAAGAAACGGTAGATTCTTTTTAATTTATCCAAGTAGACTAGATTATTTAAAGGAATGATTTACAGTTGAACCGAGGGCTGAGCAAATGAGAGATTTTATTGGTCATCAATGATGCAAAAAAGGCAATAAAAACTCAATCCGAACAAATTAAATAAAAAAAAAAACTTCAAAATGGTTTTAAAGAATAATTTGGAAAAATCCTTAAAAGACTTGGAAATGAGAGTTAAGGAGTTAGAGCAAAGTAACGAAGGATTACGTTCACAATTAAAATATTTAGAAGAAAAGGTTGGAGAGCGAGAAGAAGAAACCAAGGCCAATATTAATAATTTGGAAGAAAAGGTTAGAGAACGAGAAGAAGAAACCAAAAAAAAGCAAGAAAATTTTAATGAATTAGAAAAGAGAATCAGAAATCTTGAATTAATTATTTACGATGATACTATTGATAGTTTGACTATTACAGATACTAAGGATGACATATTGAACACCTTAGGCGGATTGCAAAGATATCGAAAATTGACAAAATTGGATTGTAGTAATTCTCAAATAACAAGTTTACCAACATTACCCAACTCCTTAACGAAACTTGATTGCTCTTATACTCCAATAACTATCCTACCAACATTACCCAGCTCCTTAACGAAACTCAATTGCTCGAATACTCAAATAACTATTCTATCAATATTACCCAACTCCTTAACTATACTCTATTGTTATATGACTAAATTAAATAGTTTACCAACATTACCCAACTCCTTAACAATACTCAAATGTTATAGAACTAAAATAAATAGCTTACCAACATTACCCAAATTCTTAACGAAACTTTATTGCTCTTATACTCAAATAACCATCCTACCAACCTTACCCAACTCCTTAACGGAACTAAATTGCTCCGATACTTCAATAACTATCCTACCAACATTACCCAACTCCTTAACGAAACTTGATTGCTCGAATACTCCAATAACTATCCTACCAACATTACCCAACTCCTTAACAATACTCAAATGTTATAGAACTAAAATAAATAGCTTACCAACATTACCCAACTTCTTAACGGAACTTGATTGCTCTAGTACTCCATTAACTATCCTACCAACATTACCTAACTCATTAACGGAACTTTATTGCAATGATACTCAAATAACTATCCTACCAACATTACCCAACTCCTTAACTATACTCAATTGTTATATGACTAAATTAAATAGCTTACCAACATTACCCAACTCCTTAACGAAACTTTATTGCTCGAATACTCAAATAACTATCCTACCAACTTTACCAAACACTTTAACTGAACTTTACTGTACAGATACTTCAATAACTTGCTTACCAAATTTACCAGATTGCTTAACGAAGATCTACCCCAAATATTTAAATCAACCAACCATTTTACCAACTTCTTAATACATTTAGCAATTTAGCTGTTTTATTCAACTAAAATTATTTACTGTTTTCGTCTTAAATAAGATCAATTTATCTTAAGTTTCAAGCAGTTATTTATTAATTATGTAAAAAAAAAAAAATAATTAAAAGATTGTATCGTGACATCATGAATAATTTAAATTATAACAAAATTTTTAAATTCAGTAGTATCTGGTTAATGAGAATAGGATCATGTCTATTATCCATAATATTGACTGATATTTTTAAGAGCATCTTAGGTGATCTTTTCTATTAAAGACGAACATATTAATTTAACAAGATTTAGTTAAGCAAAAATCTTTTTATTTTTTAAAAAAATGGATGTAATGTACACATTTTTTTCCTTAATTCAATTTGTGATTAAAATTAAGATCAAAAATATAAACATAACTGCACACATTATTTATTTAATTCAATTAAAATTATGATCACAATATAATGTAAAACTTATATTTAAGATTCAAAAATTCATAATATTCTAAATTTATTTAGCAATTAGTTTAACCAAAATTGAACTTGATTGTTAGTTCAATTAATGAAAAAATAAACTGTGTAAACAAATAATATAAGCTTTTAAGCATTCTTGAATTTAGAGCATATTAATAATATCATTATTATTAAAAAATAATTTAAAATAAAATGAAGGAAAATATTAAAATTTTTATGTAATATTTCTATTATTATATTTAAAACTAAGATAGAAATACGTTACTTTCTAATTAAACTTTTAATCGATTCTAATATATTAAATTTATACTATACTGGTTACCTTTAGAAAGTATCAAGAATATGAAGGTTATGAATATTTGCAATATTCAAGATGCGACTTTACAAGCCTGTATTGCATACCATTATTTTGTGATATTTCTTAAATTAATTATAAAGGTAATTTTTTAAGGGTGAAAATATTTCCATATGACCAAAGCTTTTGTGTAAATTTTTGTATTATATGTAAATTTTATATAGCTAATTTCCTTCTATAATATACTTAAAACCTTTTCACGTTGTTAGTGATTATTCACGATATTAACCGATCGGTCAATCAGTCAGTTAAAACAGGTCAAACGATCGGCCGTTGAACGGCGTTACCATCCCTATGGTTGGTGAATACAACAAAAACAAATGAAAAAAGAGTAGAGACAGAATAAGGAAATAGGATTAGTCGAAACGAAAATAATGATTTCATCTTGCTTAATGTAACATGACAGCGATATGTACTGTACGCCAGAATTTATCCCGGGTACTATCACAATAAATTTGCCGTGAATATAAGTTTTATTTTCATAAAATTTAATTTATTCTATTCATTTATCTAATATAAATGAAAAGAACCAGCGTAAAATATTTTCTCAAATAAAAAAGAAAGCAAATATTATATAAAATTCAATTCACATGTTACAAAGTTTAAATCCATTTAGGATTATCGTGTAACAGCCAAACAATATAAATTGAACCATATCTTTCCTTAAACTTCAATAAAATAATGTCTGAACGTGAAAATATTCCGAGCGCACAAGGTCATTTTGAGTTACCGTTCTCCATTTCTACGACGAATTTTGGCTTCCAATAATGACAATGAAGGCGTTCTGACTCATGATAAATTGTCAAAAATTTCACCCGAAATCTTTCGAATAATTTTGAAGTAAGTGGTTTAAAATTATATTATTTAGTTATATTTGTTTTTAATTTTTTAAATGATTTTAATATATGTACATTTATGGTGGGGTGATTTTATTGAATGAACATGTAGCTTCAGATATTTTAGAAGTATTGGCCGCTGCTGATGTGCTTCATCTTCAAGAGCTAGTTGAATATTTACAGAATTATTTTATCATAAATAAAGTAGCATGGATTAAACAAAATTTTGAGCTAGTTTACAGAATCAGTTCTCAATCTAGTTCTTTAACTGATCTTCGACAATTTTGTACAAATTACATGGTCAAATCACCAGAACTCGTTTCTAAATCACTTGATTTTTCTTCACTTCCTGAAGATATCTTAATTTCTCTCATTAGAAGTGATAATTTACTAATGAAAGAAGTTGAAGTTTGGGAGCGTGTATTAAAATGGGGACGTTATAAGAATCCCACACTATCTTTTGATCCTATGACCTGGTCAGATGATGGTTTCAAACAAATGAAAAACACTTTAAAACAAAGTTTACCCTTAGTTAGATTTTTTAGCATGACCTCTGAAGAGTTTTTCCAAAAAGTTCATCCATATAAAAAACTTTTGGAACCCCAACTTTATGAAGAATTGTTACGATCTTATTTAGATCCTAATAGTGAGCCAACAATTAATATTTCGCTTCCTATTCATAGAAATATCGGTGGAATTGTAAATTCAAACATCGTTAATTTAAATATTGTTTCTGCAATCTCAAAATGGATTGACAAGATAGAAATTAAAAGTAAAATTGATTGTATAAGAGATTTGTATCTACCATATAAATTTCGATTAATATTAAGAGGAAGCCAAAGTGGGTTTACTCCTTATATGTTCCATAGAAGATGTAATATACCTGATACAGTTACATTTATCAAAGTAAAAGGAACGGAAGAAATTCTTGGAGGATATATTCCGATATTATGGAAAAAAGCTTATTATATCAAATATGGTCATACAGCTAAAAGCTTCATATTTTCTTTTAAAACAAAGAATTTTAAAGATCCAATTTTAAGCCGTGTTATTGGTGAACATAATGTAATAATGTATCATGATAATTTCGGTCCTTCATTTAATCATGATCTTTTTATTAGTTCAAATAATGACCAAGAAGACTTTAACACTTGTTATTGCAGAAAAGAAAGATATGAAAAAAAGATAAGAAATGAAGAAAAATTCTCAATAGAGGAATATGAAGTATTTCAAATTTTGGATGATTAATTCCTTTTAAAGATGGTTCAACAAACATTTTTATAAGCTTTAACTAGTTGACAAGTAATTACCAATTTTCAACATTCGATATACATTTGTATTTAATAATTTATATTTATTATGTTATTCCGTTTATCTAAAAAAAATTTTAGTTATTTAAATTAGTATTAAAACGAGGCACTGTTCTATTGGTGATTAAGGTAGGTAACGAGAGAAATTATGATCATTTTATCGCATTCGATGTGCTTCATCTTATCACGTGAAAATATGTTATTTATAATCAATAAAATTTGGATTTAAAAAATTATCTACGTTAATTGCTCAATTCAATATTTGCAAGAAATTATGTTATAGAAAAATATTAGATCAATAAGTGAAGAAATAAATAAACTACTATTGATTTAGAGGAAAAATTTAATGATTGATCAATAGAAAGAAACCCAAGCAGAAATTTATTAAAAATTTAAAAAAATAATAAAAAGCGAGAACTATCGAAACTGTCGAAACTTTCGAGATCCATTGAAACTTTCGAAATAATTTTTGAAAAATTTCGATTTTTACAAAATGTGTTTAGGGTTTTGCTATATGAGTCCGAGAAAACGTTAATTCAAAAACTCATATATTTCATAAATTTGTAAACTTGACTCAATCAAAATTTCCAATTCGAATAGATTGAAAATTTAAATATTTTATAAAGCGCATAAATATCAACTTGCTAAAATTCATATAATTATATAAAAAAAAATTTAAAAATTAGTTAAAGCTGATCTTATTCTGCCGCAAACGCAAAAAATTATTTTTTAAGAATATCTTTCGATTTTACGTCACTTATGGCGCAGTAATAATAGTAAAGTTCAGAATGTTTTTGTTGCTCAAAAACGGATAGTTGATGGCGGTGCATTAGTTACATGCTTTAAATAGTTAAATATGTGACACAAATTCGCAAATGATCATTAAATGAAGTCAATAGCCTTATATAATTTTTCATGTGAAAAAAAAAAATAAAAAGTAAAAAAAAAAATACAAGTTTGTATAATTTTACATTGAAATGTTTCTCCAAATGTTTCGATATCACTTATTGCTTATTTTTTTCTTTCAATTGATTACACTTGTTAATTCTTATAATCTTATAGGGCGTGCGCTTCATACTTCCAATTATTTAAATGACAAAATTTACTTTCTTGGAGGTGAAACAGATAGAGCATCACATACCAATGATTTTTTTTATTTAGACGTTTCAGCACCGTTTACTTTAGATTCTTTGCCAATAGTCGATTTAACCAGAAATGTTCAGATTGCTAAACATAAAAGAGCGACATCAAGCGTGTGTGGCCCTAATAAAGATACAATCTTTCTGTTTGGTGGCGATATTGACGGTGATGAAAGTGCTGCATCCTTAGTTTATACATTTAACATCAGCGTTCCACAATGGACTAATACAAATATTGAAGGACCTCAACCACAAAGACGTGTAGCGTCATCAGTCGTCTGTGATGAAAATGCAAGGATGTATATATTTGGTGGTACCAACGGTGATGGTTATCAAAATGATTTTGATATTTTGGACACAGATCAATTAACTTGGTCATTGGGAAGTAGAGTAAATATTCCACCTCCTATGGACTTGGCTACCGCAAATTTATTATCGAATGGGAAAATCGTCTATCTAGGAGGATATAGTAATAGACAACTTATTGACATGTCAAAGGTTTGACGAAAGTTTTATTTAAATTGATCTTTATTTGTGCTTGTCCCATCATATTTGATTCTAACTTTTAAAAATTTGATTTTTAATATTCATCATATAAAGATTTATTTATATGATACCATTAACGATGAATGGTCACGAATGGTTATAATCTACTTGCATTTTTTATAAGTTATTTAAATTCTTAATACAAATTTACAAATATTATCTTTCAAATATTCATAGTTTACGATGGGCACTCCACCAAGGGGTAGAGCTTGGCACTCGGCCATCTTAAGTATGTCTAATTAAAATTTTTATTTTGTATTATTTCTATTAAAGCAAGACAACCAAATTATTTAATTCCATAAAGCACAAGATGGTCGCATTATCGTCTACGGAGGAGTTCCTGTTTCTCCTGATGATCAATTATCGGTTCTAGATACCACCGTACTACCCTTTAAATGGAGCATTCCCGAAATTTCATTTACTCCTAGTTCTGCACCATACAGTGGGCATACAGCTACTCTTGTTGGAAATTATATGATTGTTTCATTTGGTATAATTTAATATGTTGACATTAGATGAAATATAATTAAATGAACTAAAAAGATTATTTATACACATTTATAGGTTGGATCTATAAAGGTTCAGCTCCCGCAGTCTATAGTAATCAAATTGTTATGCTTGACATAAGCGATAAAAATGATTACAAGTGGGTCACGAAATTCACTCCTAATACTACTGTTCCGGTCCCAGTGCCAGACCCAGTACCAGCTCCAAAATCTAATAGTAAAATAATTTTTATTTCGTTAGCCTTGATAATTATTATATTTATTATCATTAGCTCAATTTATTATTATAATAATTATCATGTTAAAAATGCAAATGCGAGAGAAACTTCCCCACTATTACCTTAAGATCAAATTCTTATTCTTCATTAAATTAGTATCCCCCAATACCTGAAAGAAAAAGATTTTATTTTTTTTTAAGTCTATTCAACAATTTTTTTATAAATCGTTTCGCTGTGATTCAAAGCTTTTTGAATGAATCCACATTTCTTAAATATTTCATCAACATAATTTAGTAATTGTAATTTGAATTCCTTTCTAATCAATATTTCATCACAGATATTTAATTTTTGAAGATAGATAATGTATTGATAAGATTTAAAGGATTTTTTTAAAAGATATTATGTGCATTAAAAGATCTTTTATGAATTAATTTTTTCACAGAAAAACTATTTTTCATATTACTTTTCTTTTTCTTTAAAGGACCCACAGAATGTAAACTCCGTAGTTAATAACTTAAATTACTCGTAACGAAGATTACATTTACAAAGCCATAGACAAAGTTAGGATCGTGGCATTAGGGTTAGGGTTAGAAAAGTTCGGAAGGAAAGGTTTGTTAGGAAAGCCGGCCGCAGTCCACGCAGCCAACGGCTACGCAACATTTCCGATAAGTTGCGTGGAATTAGGGTTAGTTCGTAGCATTAAAATTAGCCACCTATAAATTAAATCACGTGTTCCTAAATTGATATTGGGGAAGTTGCGGGTCTTTCATTCGTGGAAATTTTCCGAGTTTGTGCTCTCTATAATGTTCTTTTAAAACATTTTCATTCGAAAACTTTAGCGTATTAATAAGTGTAAGAAGTTGCGGGAGAGATTGTTCGAAGAAAGGCGATTAATTTCAATGATTTCTTAATACAATTTAATTTAATTATAATTGGTTATAGATATAAATACTTTATTAATCGTTATAATTTTGAGAACAAAATTCTATTACATAATTAAATGTAAATGTAACACTAAATTAAAATAAAATGTCAGCTCGAAAAAGGAATGTGACAGCGTGACGCTCGCACAATTGTCCCTGTTGCCTAGTAAGTATGATACTAATAACCATTTGTATCGTATCGAAATACATAGCAAGAAATAAAAGTTTATTGTATACTCAAGTTAAAATAACCTAGACTTCACAAACTAATCACTACCAAAATAATCTATCATTGTTATCAATGTAATTAAAAAAGCAGTCTCGTTTAAAAAATAAATTTAATCTTGAACACTACACGTCTTGCGAAGAAAAGCAAAAGAGATGGCTCGGAAAAAATTCCACGTCGTCAAAATGCGGGGATTATTTATCGTAAATAAAAAAAAAAAAAAATAAAAGATCGGCTTTTTATGTCCAAGTTAGTAATTTTACTTTCATTATATTGGTAATACTTCAATAGTTAAGGTCAAGAAATTAAATGCAAAAGCGATTTAAGCCATTAATAATAATATCATTAGATAAATATATATGAGCTTGACTAGCAGAGGCACTTCGCTCAAATTGGACATAGGACAAGAGAACCCATATTTCATACTTGCTTTACCAATAGTATATACTTCTTTCTATATTTTTGGTACTTACATCACTTTAACTGAGGTCATGTTATATCTATTTTTTATTAAAGAAGAAAAAGGAAAAGAGTCGAAGTGTACGATAAAATTAATGTGACGATAGAAAAAAATCATATTGGTGATTTTAAAACTATATTTTAATAATCGTCGGCGCGATGTTGTTGTATTTTAACGTCTAAATTGTCAGCAAGTTCTTTAACAATTAAAATTTCGATAAGCTTTACTTTTGCTGAAGAAAAAAATAGAGAAAATTAAATAGTTTATTCGTTCGAGGAGAACTTGCAAATTTGCTATATATAATGCTGGGGATATTTTTAAACAAAATGTATGGTAGCAAACGTGATCGGCATTTAATTCTAGTTTATTCATTTTCGTTTTTTGAACAAAATTATTTATCGGTAAAATTAGTACATCATGGCAAAGAATGGTTCAAAGTATAAATTCGTATACTGCGATATGTAATACTTATTTTACTCTTCCCTTAAACTACTTCTAAAATTCATACGTTTATATAATAAAATACAAGATCTTGTGATTTCGGAAAAATGCGATATATAATCGGATTTGTATCGTTTCGTGATTTCGAGATTCTGTGCTTTATACGGAATCCGTCCAGGTAAGGACCTCCCAAAGTAAATGATGCTTTAAATAATTTATAATTAATAAGTTAAGATTTATAGTAAATCTTCTATTTTCATTTTTTTTGTTAAAAATAAATTTATTTGTAAATATAATAAAAAATAGTTTTTACTGTCATAAATACTTTAAAAATATTTTATAAAATTTAAATAAATATACATATATATAAATAATATGTTATAAATTTACGAAACAAAAATAAATTCTAACTTTCTTCAGAATTAAATATTTAATTCTAAATAATCAAATCCTCTATAAATATAAATAAATATATTTGTTAATATTTAAAATAAATATATCAATTAAAGATAAATTTTAAACTTTTAAAATAATTACCAGTATTTTGACAAATTTGGTTTGAAACATCTTGATTTAACATATCATTTAAATTTTCAGTAAAATCAAGTAAACGACTTGTATGATATGCTTCTAAATGAGGTTTAACAGGTTTAATATTATTGTTGTCTTGATTTAGTCTTAAATCACTATTATAAAATTCTATAATATCGCTATTTAAGTTTTCATTAGACTTTTTTGTTATAAGATTTTTATACCAATTATTAATAATTTTTCTAATTTCTAATGCATCTGGTCTCTTTAATGGATCCGTATTCCAACATCTTTTCATTAAATCAATATAACATCGAGGAGTATTTTCAATAATTTCTGGACGTTCACCTTTACAGATACTTAAAGTAAGTTGCAGATCATGAGCTTTATCATCAAATGGAATAACTCCGGATGTTAATTCCCACATAATCATAGAAAAACTATATATATCACTGGCTGTATTGTAATGTATTTTTCTTAAAATTTCAGGTGCAATATATGGTAAAACTCCATAAACATCATTCGATTTACTTGGTTGAAAATATTCTATTGGTTTACATAAACCTAAATCACTAATAGATAAAATTCGATTCGTGATACTTAAAATATTACCATGATGTAAATCACAATGAATCAGATTTTGTTGATGTATTTCATTAAGTCCAATTATAATACATTGTAATTTAAATAGTTTCATTATCCATTTCTCTTTAACTATTTTTGATAAATTATTTTTTAAACTAAGATTTTCTGCATATTTCATTATTACTATATAATTTAAAGTATTTGGATTTTGAGTAAATCCGTATAACTGAATAAGATTTTCACTTGAATAATATCTTAATTGACTATAAGATTTATAATGATATTCCCACTAAAAAATAATAAAAATTATTTTAAAATAATATTTAAAATTTAAAAAAAAAAATAGTTTTTAATTTTACATACCTCATTTAAAAATTTATCATTTAAAATTGATGATTTATCTAAACTTTTAAAAGCTATAATAACATCACCATATCTATTCCATTTTTTCTCATTAAAAGAATAGGATTTAATAAATCCGTCTAACCAAATAGCCTTATATATAGTACTAAATCCTCCTTTATCAAGTTCTTCAATATTTTTAAATTTATTATAAGGAATCCATTCTAATATTTGCTTTTTATGTTGAGCATTTAGTTGAGAATTTTGAATAAAATTATCAAGTAATTCATTATTACTAGACCAATTAGAAAATTCCTGTTGAAATAATTTAGAATTACATTCTTTACACCATTTATATCCTGTATTTTTTTTATTACAATTTAAGCAAATTTCTATTTTCTGAATTAATATATTATTAATATTATTACTAATTTAATTTTAATTTATATAATAATAAAAAAAATTAATACTTACTTAATCAAATAATTTATTATATAATTTTATATTATATTTTTCAAAATAAATTTAGTTAAGTTAAATTATAAATATAAACAATATAAATAATTGGATTTAATTTACCAACTATAATATAATTATTAAATTAAATTATATTTATATTAAATGTATAATTATATAAAAATCGTTAATAATAACTTACATTCTAAATATAATTAATTAAATATTTAATTATATAATATTTAAACTTATAATTAAGTATAAATATTTAAATAAATACTTACTATCTAAATTATTAAAAAAATTTTAAACATAAAAATAATATAATTAAATATAAATAAATAATAAAAATAACTTACTATCTATATTATTAATTAAAATAATTAATTAATTAAAGTTATAATAAAGATAATTAATTAAATAAAAATAACTTACTATCTAAATTATTAAATAAATATTTTTAATAAAAAATTTAGTTAATATTTAATTAAATAAAAGTATAATTTTATATAAAATGTCTTACCAACTAAATTATTAAATATATTTTAAATAAAAATATGAATTAAAAATATAAACTAATATAAATAATAATAAAATAAATATAACTTACTTGCTAGAATATCAAAATTAAAATTTTTAAGTAAAAATTTTAAATTAAATAATAATAAAGATTTTTAAATATATATAATCAATTTAAATAACTTACATTCTATAATTTTGAATTATTAGATAATTTTTTAAAAACTTAATTAAATTAAAATTTAAATAATTATAATAATTACTTACCATCTATATTTAATTAAAATTAAAATAATAAATTCAAATTATAATAAATATATAACTTTATATAAATAAGAAAATAAATATAACTTACAATCTATATTATTAAAAAAATTTTTTAAATTATTAATTACATTAAGTTTAAATAATAAAGTTTTTAATAATTAAATATAATAATAAAAAAAATATCTTACCAGCTATTATTTATATTAATTAAAAATATATATTTAATCAAGTAATTAAGTTATAATTATAAATAGATAAATAATTAATAAAAAATACCTACCATCTAAATCATCAAATATTTTAAATATAAAATTAAAATCATTTTAAATTATAGTAAATAGTATAAATAAATAAAATATTAATGATTAAAATAAATAACTTACTAACTATAATATCATATTTTAAGTAATTTTTTTTTATAAATACATTTATTTTTAAATTATAATAAAAATAATAAAAAGTAAAATAATCAATAAAAAATAACTTACTAACTATAAAATTTATTATTAAATAAAAAAATTAATTAAATTTGACAAAAATACAAGAAATATTGTATTTTTCATAAAGCAATATATAATTAAAAAAATAACCTACTCCCTATAAAATAATATTTATTTATTTATTTAAAATAAATTAAAATTATATTTAAATTATAATAATATTATTATTAAATAATAACTTACATGCTAATTATAAAATTTTTTAATGACAAATTAATTATTTATATAATAATAAAAACATAAATAACTATTAAATTTTACTTACATTCTATAATATTAGTTATTAAAAAATTAAATTTAAATTATAGTTAAAATTATAATTTAATTTAATTAACTAATAAAAATAGCATACCATCTAAATTATGTAATAAAAATTTAATTTATTTAAATTATAATGCAAGGATATTCAAATTTAAATAGTAATAAAAAAATTTACCAACTATATAATATATTAAATTATTAAATATTTTTAAAATAAAATAGTTAATTAATTTTAATTATGGTAATAATTAAATATAAATAATATTAAATAATTATAATTTACCATCTAAATTATTAAATAATAAAGTTAATTAAAAAATAGTAAAAGACTAATTAAATATTAATAATTAATAAATAATTACAATCTAAATAATTAATTTTTTTTTAAAATAAAAATTAGTTAAATTTATTATAGTAAAGAATTATTAAATATAACAACCTACAATCTAAATGATTAAATATTTAAAAACAATTTAATAAAGTTATATTTGTATTAAAACTATAATTAAATTAATTTTATTAATAAACTTACTTGCTATAATAATAAAAATAATTTAATTATGTTAAATTATAGTAAAAAAAAATTAAATATATATATATAATTAATTAATTAAAATAACTTACAATCTAAATTAAATAAAAAATTTGGTTAAGTTTAAATAAGTATAATTTAATATAATATAATAATAAAATTAACTTACTCCCTTATAATATTAATTATTAAATATTTAAATAACAATTTAGTTGAAAATAAATAGTGTAATTAATATAAATATCAATAAATATAACTTACATGCTATAAGATAACCATTAGTTTTTAAATAAAATTTAGTAAATTTAATTATAATTAAATATTAAATATAATAATAAATATAACTTACATTCTATTGTATTATTTAATATTTTAATATATTTAATAAAATGTGAATTAAATAATAATCAATCAATAAATAATTATTTACCATCTAAAATATTAAATATTTATTTAAATAAAACAATTTTATTAATTTAAATTACAATAATTAATTATTTAATTTACTTACTCTCTGTAATAATATTTTCAAAATGAATATTTTATAAATTAAATAGTTAAAATTATAGTTAATCAATAAAAATAACTTACGTTCTATGATATTTAATAAAAATTTAGTTTCTTAAATTAAATATAGAATATTAATAATAATAACTTACCAACTATAATATTGTTTGTCATTTAATGTTTTAAAAAAAATTAACTAAATTTAAATTGCAATATAAAGAATAAAGAAAATGAAGAACTTACTCCCTATAATATAATTAATCCATTTAGTTTTTTGTATTAATAGTTTAAGATGTTAACAATATTATAATTAAATGACCTACAATCTATTAGTCCATAATAATTTTTTATGAAAATAAAATAATTATCATTAAGGGATTATTACTTGACTTAATGAATATATAAAGTTTGATACCATTTAATTCTTCTAATATAGGCGCCTTAGGAGCATATGACTCTAACATAAAAGGCTTATTTTCTTAAAAAAAAAATTTTTGAAATCAATCTGTAAATATTATAGCTCAAGATATATAAATAATTTTAAAATTGTCTTTACCTTCTATTACTTCTACTTTTCAAAATTTATTAAGTATTAATGATAATATAAGAGAAATATATGAAAGTGTTTAATGAATATTATAGTATTACCTTCTAATTCTTTTATTGAAATATTTTCGGCGTCATATGAAACTGGTTCTAATTTTTATTAAAATGTTTGGTTTAACGAATAACAGTATTATATTAATGCGGTTAATGAAAGTTACCTTCTAATGTTATTTGCTCAACGTCTGCAGCTAATTTAATTTATTACATATTTATTTATGTTTTAAGGAAATTATTTTTCTCAGATCCAATTGTATTAATAAACTCAGGTGTGATAAACTTTATTCATACCAATTTTATCTTCGTCTTCTAGATGAACACTTTTTTTTTTGGTAAACAAGCTTTTAATCCGCTTTATTGCACTTTTATCTTTATCATTATTTTTATTCATTGTAAACGACGACAAACAAATTTTCAATTAAAAAGAAATTACTGCATATGTCGATCATATTTATTTAAATTTGAAATTTGCTGCGGTTATGAATTCGACATCAAAATTGTCGATCAAGTTAGGCGCACCGGAGCGTAAGCGGAGGACTATTAAATACTATGCAACTTAATAAATTTGTCAGTCTGTCCGCCCGCACAATAATTGAGTCGATGCTGATTGGCCTTTGCAATTGCAAAAGTCTAGATAAAGCAAATACCAGGGTGAATTTTTTTTTAGTTAAGATCGTTTCGGACTTAACAACGGTCCCCGTTCCCTAGTTTATGATTCCTTCCATAGCTATTAATAATTTAATGAGACTATAAACTTTAAAAATTACGTAGTTACTTTTCCAATAAATAGAGTAAATATTTCGGACCCTTTTATTTAAAATAATGGAAGCAAATACTTGACATAAAAAATATTTGCATCTTTTTAAAATATAATCAACGAGGGGATTTTCTTACTTTTGTAGTAACTAAATTTAAATAAGAAAAAAAAATTATTGCTAATTTAAAATTTAAAAATTTCAAGATTGTTTAATTCATTAAAATAATTAATTTGAAACTAATTTGATTTGAGATTAAGATTCATCAATTAAACTCTAATCTCATCAATGTTTTTTACTTCAAATGCATTTATGATAATGAATATTTGAGCCGTAAAAGTTAATAGGTTTAAGATTAGTTATCGATTTAATGATATAGGTGAGTCATATTAATAATGGAGGATAACACTAAAATTAATTTTATGACAACAAATATTTTATCTTTAAAATTTTGAATACTTGCGGAAGCTGAGTTTATGGAAATTATAAAGATGGCATTAAGCTAACAATTGCGGCAAGTATGTTAATGTATTCCCGATTATTTAAAGCTTTTTTTTATGATCCTTTTGTAGTGGATGAATGAAATTATTAGTATAAATTTTCATCTAAAATTATATTTGCACGAATTATATTATATAACTCTCTTTCACATTACAGCAACAATTTCAATGATAAGTATTATATAATGTATTTAAAATTTTAAACTTGTATTATATAATATACAGAACATAAAAATTGATATTCTACATATAGTTCCGTTTCAAGTATCTCTGCCAAATTTTTTGCAAATTTTTTTATTATATCCTTACAGATCGTTCGAATTTTCTTTGATATAGAATTTATGATGTACTTTTGCAGTTCGTGATAGTCCCTCATTACGATTACTAAGCACAATAGACAATATGCAGAAAGCTCATCTTTAATCTTTGCTTTGTTCAAATTTACGGTATTCTTTCGCTTACAAAATTCATTACCAAATATCCTTTAAATTCATTTCAAAATGTTTAAATGTTCTATAGACTTTTTTTCCGTGATACCCCAGCAACGAAATAATATCCTTTAGTCAGATCCTACTTTTTTATAATAAAAAGTAAGCAAATATTTCATAAATAACTTTTAAATTAAAAAAAGAAGTAAAAAGACATTATTTATTAATTATCCTATCATTAACATTCTAGATATCCATTTAATTTCGACCCTAGCAAAAGAAAGCGATAAATATCTTTTAACATACCTTATTTAATTAAGAAAATTACGAATGGTTACAAGAAAGAATAAAGAATAAAATTGAATAAAGGTTCAAATATTATTAATAAAGAACCGGAAACTTTAGAAGAGTTTATTATAATCAATCGATCAAACAAAAAATGCTTATGTAGGTTAAGACCGTGGTATGATACGGTTGCGCAAATGACTTCCAAATAACTATCAGATAAGTTCAATTATAGATAATAGGCGCATTTGTTCCAAAAACAAACAATGGATTCGATTGTTTAATTGGCTTGCCGCCAGTTTTATCTTTAAAAGGCGAATATATTTAATTTGTTTGGAATTATAAATGCAATAGATGGTAAAATTTGGTATACCAATAATTCAAGAAATACCCATCAGTTTATTCGTCTTTAAGATATTGCTTAAAAATAATCATATTTTCACTTTATCAGGTGAGTTTCTTCCTATCATAAATGATAGATTAGGAATAATTAAAAAAAACCTCAATTCTGTTATTATCCTTGAAATTTTCTATTTATTGATCAATATTACCAACAATTTTCATAAAATTTACTTTGGTAAACTAAAATCCTTTGCTGATTTATCGGATGAAGCAAATACAAATTAACCTTCTTATATATCTAATACATCTAGGAAATTTTATCTTGCGTTGTGTATATTTTAAAATTATTATTGATTTCTAATATTCCTACGTTAATAGATTCCTACCATTGCCAGTTAATTAAACGGTTAAAAAAAATCGTCATTTATTAATGGCGCAGTAATCGCGCGTAAAATCAATGAAAATGTCAATCGAAAATGTTGAAAATGTCATTAATTATATCAATTATTTTTGGTTACATAATTATAATAGTTTTTGTTGTATTATTATATCGTTATATTAATAATTTTTATTATATTAGATATATTCGTCGTATAAACCCCGAAAATCCGCTTTGTTCAAAAAATAAGGTTGACGAGTGAGTCTTGAGAAGAGACGTCCGATATCTTTAAATAATAAAATTTGACTTTACACTTTCAAACCTTATCGTGTCTCCGTATAGACTGAATAATAACCAACTACACAAAGAATCGAATCGATTAAGTAAACTGTTGTATAAATCTTTTTTAGGACGGGCCTGATTTAGATTAATCTTGGTTTCGGTTTAAAATCGATCCGGTTAAAAAAAATTTTTAAACGGTTAAAATATTTGATATTAACTCCGGCCGAAATATTTTCTTCTAGAATTAAGATTTTTATGATTGCAAATAGTTACTGGCCTAAGTTAATTTTAATCGGTTAATTAACCGGTAACGAATATTTTAACCGGATATTAACCGGTTAAAGATTTAATTGAATAAATGTTTGATCCGTTTGGAATTTTTCGAATAATTTTCTCGATTTATTACTCAATATACTTTTAGCAAACTCTAAGAAATTTTTACTCATAGAAGAATTCCTATGTGATCATAAAAACAAATATTTTAAACGATTTTTTCGTGAGTCAAGAAACAAACTTTATCAAGAATCTATCAGTAGTAACTTAAATATTTTAAAGAAATAATATAATAAATATGTACAGTCGCGTCACAAAGTGACGCTCGATCCAAATTTCATAATAAAACATATAAAGAATAGATAATTTCAAGATATATACATATTATTAGTATCTACTTTAATAAAGCCCAGTTAGTTGTATTTTTTTTAAAAAAAAAGGTTTTAATTTTTAGAAAATTTTAAATGCATAAACTATTTTAATTGTAATGTATAAGATCAAAAAAAACTTCATACATATAAAAATGGACAATTTCGAAATGCATATAAATTTATATTTCTTTTAATTTTTGCATAATTTTACAGCAATTAGGAATAATTTTAAAACTTAAAATGCAATGAACCATTTTAGTTGTTAAGTAAATTTTATATATAAATAACTATGATATTTAAATCGGGCGACAACTTTGTGACGCGACTGTACATGTATATTAAACGTCTCACACAAAAGAAATTTATCATTTACTGTATCTCTTGTAAAATCGAATATTAAATATACACACAAAATTTTGACCAAAGTATAAGACGTCATCTAATCCCGGATTTTATTGTATTTTTAAAAAATAATATCAAAATAAACTATCTGATTTAATAAGAACTAATTTAAAAATTAACATTGCGATGAAATAATTGAATCTTATAAAAATGATAAACATTAATTATCTAATTTATGAATATTTAGTTTATTTAATAATTTTTCATTCATCTCTGGAAATTCATTAGAACCCCATTCATCATTCTTAATTAGTTCTTGTATCCTTCTACGCACTTCATCAACATCGGCATGATAATATCTAATAAAATATTGGACGTATTAGTATGAATTGCAAGAATAAGATTGCAAGGCAATGTACAAAAGTTGACATACATTTCATCAGGAAACCAGGATTTCCAACGCCTTTGATGTGGAAGCAAGTAAAATAACTCGATTTCTGCTAAAATCTATATTTATTAAAAGAAAATAAATATTAGTCAAAACATTAATAAAGTTCAGAATTTATGATGTCTAAATATCATACATTCGCTTTTTGTAACAAATACGAGGTTCTATTGTTATCCTTTTCAATCTCGATATTAAGTAACCCGATAAACAAATTCATGAGATATACGACGACCAAGAAAGAGAATAAAATCATAAATATGACAAGTATTTTATTATCTTTATATGGCCATAGAGTTAAAGCACTTGAATCACCTATAATGAATTGAATCAGCTATGTGTTATTAAAATAATAATAATATCAATAAAAATAAATTAAAACATACCTGTTAAAAATAAATACATCGCAAAAAGGGAGGTACCATAACCACTGAACATGTTTGTATTTGCATCGGGGATTTGAATTATGAATGGATTAGGATCAGTTGACCCTATTTGATCGGAGGTAGAATAAGTAGTTGTAATATTCCAAGGATCTTCTAAAGCCAATAATATGTAAAATGCATGTGCAAAACTAATTAAAATGATTCCTAAGACTACCAAGAAGGAGATTATTCGTTTCGCAACACTAAGAATAATCTCAAAATAGACACCAAAGGATTCAAATGCTCTTAAAAATAATAAAAATTTCATATCTAAAAATAAACATGTGACAGAAAGCAATTGAACGTTTTTGTCATTTGTTTGATACCAATAAATAGAAGAACCAATTGTAAGAAGATATGCTGTTAAATCTATAATAAAGGAAGTGTTAATTATATATTCTTGAATTAATTGGTTGCAGACATTTAACATACCCAATATATTCCAAACATCACGAACCCATTTTAAGGGACTATAAATGAATTGACGTATTTCAAAAGTTAAATGAACAAATCCAAGAATCGTTGAGGCAAGCAATAGTTGTTTTCTGATATTTTGAGGTATAAATTCTTCAGAAAATGTTGCAGCTATAGTAAAGCATCCAAGTAAAGCAATAAATCCAACCCATATAATTGAATAGTAAAGTTTTCCATATTTATTCCATTTGAAAATAATTAAAGCTTCTCCATTCATTGTCTTATATATATCTCTAGATATGGTTTCCACAAATGTACTGGGTGCAGGTTTAATTAATTCCCACCACCAACTATATTCTTGTGGATAACTATCAAATTTGATATAAGGAATAAAAAATTTAAACGCGGGCTTAAATTCAGTAAATTTATCGAAAAAGGCTAAATAAATAAAAAGAAATGGAATATATATAAAAAACAATATTATAATAATTATGTAATAAATAATGTTAAATAATCTCGTAACTAATGATTTTAACACTTCCAACTGATCATTATATTTAATAACCGTAGTGTCAGTAAAAGGATTAAGATATGATTTTTCTGTTATTTCATCGACCTGATAATCCATAGAATTTATTATCATGTTTGTATCCGATGAATATCTTGTAAGATATTCAGGATATTGTTTCTTCAATAATGGCATAGTCTCAGTAATAATACTCAAAAACATATAATGGAAATCTTGTTTAAAATAATTTAAACATTTTTTATATATATCAGCCATTAATTTTCTGTCATGCACCTTAATTGAAAATATAAATAATATCTGACCATATTTTAAAAAACCTATTTTATCATCGTTTAAGTATGAGATCCATCCATTAATTAGTTTCCTATCATAATCCACGTCAGTTTTATCGTTCCAAGTGTTATTATAAAAATATTTTAATGAAATTTCATTATTTCCACTTTCATTTAAATGAAAGATAAAAATTCCAATAGTAGTTACTACGCCAAGATCGTTAAATTCATTAAGAAATTCAAATTGAATTATTGAAAAATTTTCTCTAAGATTAATCTTTATAAAATAATTAACAGCTTCATGTTCATTAACTTTCATATGAACACCTAATTCGATATGTCCATCTTTATTATAACCCATTACTTCAATATTCTGCATCTCATTCTTATTGTCTTTAAAAACATCCCTCGAGGGAATCCCCATATTGTGAATCAACGGATGTTCATATTTGAAATTAAAGTTATTTGTTTCTTCATCAAGCTTTTCGATTCCGAAATATGTTAACCAATTTTCTTCATCTTCATACATTTGTAATTCCTCTAAAGTATAAGAGTTGATATCTAAATCCAATTTAATTTCAATTTTGAGAACGGAATCGTCTACTATTACAAATAGATGGTTTTGAAAATATTGAAGTTGTAAATTCTTCTTTAATAACGAATTATCTTTCGTTAATTGGTTTAAGAAAGAATTCCAAGTTTTATTATTCTTTAATAATGGATCTTTCGTTATTTGATTTAAGCAAGAAATCCTTGTTTGATTTTTCGACATATCATCAAATAAAGAGAGTAACAAACAATGTAAGTCGGTATTTTGTTTCATAAATTTATATAGTCGTATGTCTAAAAACGAAATGATCTTGTGTAAATAATATTATATTGATATCTAATCATTTGAAATGAACGCACCTTTATTTGAATCCAATGATGCAATAGGAATGTTCAGTTCATCCAAATAAACAATAATTTCATCATTTATTTTCAGACAAGTAAACTTATTATTACTAGAAATTCTAATATTTTCCGTTTTAACCTGTTAAAATATGATTTCAAGTTAGAAATAAATATAAATTGGTTATTTTTATTAAATTTTTAAAATACTAATTACCCCTTTTAAGTTTTTGGAAATAACTTTAGTATTACCAGTTTTAATATTAAGTTCAATTATGTATGGCTTATACTCCATAAGTAGCCAAATTCTATCAGATATTATATCTATTAAATCCGTTAAATAGATTTGTTTAAATTTCTTTTGACACTTCCATTTGTTATCTTTAATTTGTGTTGAATAAACCCGAATAAAGGGAAATTCAAGAAGGATGAACTCATTATTTGAATTGAATTTAAAAGAAAGGTTGCATAAATTAGACCTTAAATCTAATTTTATTGTTTGATCCTGATTTTTCATATCAATAATTTCTAATAAAAAAAAATTTTTTCATTAAATATTTATAAACAAGTGCATTTGAATTATAAATAAATACTTACTAAATTCTTTTTCACTATAACTAAATGCTACTATATTTTCATCAGAAACACACAAGTTGTTAATATTTTCTTGTTCAACACAATAAGGTTTAGCTGTGCCATCTGATTCTATTTTTCCTTCTTTGATATCTTGAATATTCCATCCAACAATTTGTTTGTCAATATGATTATACCCAACAATATATTTTGCATTTGGCGATATTGCTACCATATCATAGCTAGAATTTATGTTTTTAAGTGATTTGACTTCATCTTCTACGGAAATTATCACAGATTTTTCAGACATTTCAGGAATAAAGAAATTAAACTTTTTTGCTCAAGAAAAATAGCTTTATATAATTTTTTTTTTTTTTACGAGGTACATTTATCTTGTAATAATTTGATTGATGAAACCTAAAACGGGCCGGCCCGCATGCTCGACGAAGGCACTGGAAATGTATTGTTGTTCGTTTACATATCTGTGTCACTCCTGACCGAAACACATTTATTTTACGAAAGTTTTATCATTGATTGATGAAACCTAAAACGGGCCGGCCCGCATGTACGACGAAGGCAATGGAAATGTATTGTTGTTCGTTTACATATCTGTGTCACTCCTGATCGAAACACATTTATTTTACGAAAGTTTTATCATTGATTGATGAAACCTAAAACGGGCCACGACGAAAGTCTCAATAATTACAGAGAATGCAAATGTATTGTTCGTTTACATATTGTTCATTTTATAACTGTGTCACGTCAATCGGGTGTCACTCCTGACAGAATCACGAGACATCACATGGTAATTAAATTAATTAATCGGCCAATTAGAAATTGGGTAAAATGGCGTCTAAACTTCCTATCGTATCGTTACTCAAATTCTAGCCCGAGTACTCATGTCATTGTATAAACAAATTTATTATTATAGAAATTATAATAAAAATAAAATTATTTACGGTGGCAGAATTTGTGCAGCAGATTTTTTGCTCAAGCAGAAACCGCAGAATTTATTGGCGATAATTATTGTTGTATTAACAATTATTAAAATTTTGAAACGGAGCCACTATGGAATATCGTGATTTTCACGGCTGCGCCGTGAAATAATTGATATTCATGGATTCCCGTGAAATAACTATTACATATAAGTATGTTAAACGTCATGTTATATTTCTTTTACTATATCCGTATAGCTTGTTTCATGTGGGTTTTAATTCAATGTTAGATGTAAGTGAGCAATGTGCTTTTCTTGGCTCTCGTAATCATGTATGGAGATTTGTAAAGAAAGTGTTTTTTAAAAAAAATCCATATAAATTAATTTAGAAAATAGTGTTTTTTTTAAAATTATTGAACATACTTAGGTATTATAAAATTTCAAGAATAAAGAGTATACACGATTTGCAAAATAATTCCCTTCTGATTTTTCTATTAAATAATTTTACCTTAAAATGTTCATTTTTGGGATTTGATAGTTGGACGAGTAAGCATTATATTTTTTTGGGATATTATTACAATTGAATATAATTCTGGCCGAAATCTTCATAATTCCGCATGCAAATCGCATTACAGTTAGTCTTTTTGATTTGCCAAGCTGGGTGCCAAGGTTCTCAAGGTGCCAGTATGACAAATGTTCAAGATGCCAGGCTGGCTTAATATTTTTTTTTTATTTATACTGAGCTGGAAATCCTAAAACAGCTCAATATCCACGCTCGCCCTTGTAATATTTCTTTAATTACATTCCCTCCAAAATCCTCCCTTTTACACGTTTGCGATAATTTCGTTTTCGCTGTTTCAACTTTTCAATTTCGTATATGTAACATCGTTTATTGTTTTATTTTTTTTTAAATTCCCGATTTTATTAGTGCTTTTTTATTCAATTTTATGTAATCTTTTTCGTAATTTGCGCAGTTTTAATAAAATAGAATTTATACTTTGCATTTATAGAGTTTAAAATATTGATCAAGCGAAAGTGTAGAGCGCCGACGTTAAGGCAACACTGATTAATTTGATAATTTTAAATAAAATACTTGTCATTATTACTTACCCTTACCTTCTGCTTACAAAACAAATTGTTTATAAATACATAAACGAACGAAAGAACTGAATACAACAGTATTTTTCTTTTGTAAACAACTCTTTACATACTTTAGCCATAAAATCCAGTTGCTTTGGCAATCTTATCATAATATAATTCAATTTTTTACAGGAATTATTGATTAATTACATTATACATTTTTATGATAATAAGATAGTAATTTCATCAAATTCGCGATGATCGCAGCGGTTAAATATTTTTTTCTTCTCGACTTTCATTTTTCAATGACGAATTGGATTATTTCGGAAGAAAATAGGTAAGTTTTTTTTTTATGATCAATACAATAGTTTTTTTTGTCATTTCGTTATTTTTATTAAAAAGAATTTGTTCTTGTCTCTAGTTTTATTGTAGCTTTCTTACTCGCTACAAAAGAATAATTTCAATTAATCGATTCTAATTACATTTTCGATTAATTCGATTATGGTAGAATCGATTCCCCTATAAATGGCGTGAGATTTATTATATAATTTATATCAAATGGAATTTGATAAAAAACATCAAATTTATCATCTCAGTTATTACCATCCAATTATGAAATCAGTTTACTGGGATAACGGAGTGTACTTATATCAGTTTTGAATAATTTCCTTTTCAATCCAATAACGACCATTTTCTTGTTTTTGAATGAATAAATTATTGCAAATTATAAGGTCATTTATCATTCACTACGATATTTTTTTTTTAAAATTACCTTAATAATTTCAACTTGAAATGTATAATAAAAATTATGTCATTTGATATGTGAAGAACCCGAAGAGCTTTTAATTCTGATAGATTATTCACTATAAAATTATATGAAATGGATATATGATTAAGTGGGGTTTTGCTCAGAACCCGTATATTCCTAAAGATGGAAACAATCGAACAACCGTTATGGAACATTCTCTTCATAGATAAATCCCTTAATTAGATTTCATTTTATATCTTGAAAAGTACTTTTATTTTAGAAAATTAATACCGGCATCAGTCAAGAAAATTAAATCTCGAAATTTTGCGATATTTTCCGGTTGGATTGATAAAAAAAAAAAAATAGATTTATCATAATAATGTCACGGACGCAACCTATATTATCAATTTACATTATCTGGCGGGATGGTAAATATCATCATATTAAATCAGAAATTAAAAAAATCAAATGAACAATTCAAACTATGACAAATTCATATTAATGTCGAAAGATTTCACGTTCTGTAATGATGTTAACATTATTATTTAATCAATTCTGTCTCTTTAATCATTATAAAATAACATTCAAGTAAATAAATAATTACACGGCCGTATATGATCATGATACTTTGTCTGTCAAGTAATTTTTTACAGTGCGAGTTTATTTAAACTTTGTCAGTTGTATTATAAATTATAAGCTATTAAATAATAACAATGCAATATCGATATACATAATTATTTATTATATAATATTATTAGTGATTTGATTTAAGAATTATTATTAATATTAAAGGTAAAAGAACAATTATGGAAAGTATTATCTTTTAAAAAAGCCAGAAGTGAGGAATTATTTTCCATAAATTTACTTTCGTTTATCGAAGTTTGTTGTATGTTCAACAAAATTGTTATTTTAGTTATCTTGGTGAATTTTTTGCGATTCTACAGATTATAAAGATTGGTTAATTTTTATAAAAAAATGCATAAATTAAAATGATAAAATATAAATCTTGATAAAAAGAAAGAGCCGAAGTGAAAATTTTTGGCTTGATTTAATTGATTATCTAAAAAAAAAAAATTATTAAAATTTGTAATTTAATTAAAATAATTAAATTATAGAATAATTTATATTTACCAATTTTATTAAATTATGTTACATTATAAATAGCTTGTATTAAATTTTTTGAACTAATTTCTTGTAAAACTTCGCGAGGTCATTCATATGCTGCTAATCCTTTAATAGTTTTATGTCTTGATAAAGCCATAACTTCTGGATCTGAAGCACCATTTGACTTTAAATTGTAACACCAGTTTTTCGTCCTGAATGGTTACTAATAAAACGATCTTCAATATTGATATCAGTAGTTTTGAAATATCACCAGTAAATAATTTTAAAAATAGACTTTTGATTTTTATAAAAACATTAGTAATTACTTATATTATAAATTTTGGTAATATGAATCTTGAACATAATCTAATGATCTTACATATAATTGTGAAATCTTATATTTTTTGTATATGTCTGGATTATTACATCTATTTCTTAGTCAATATTGTAATGATGGTGATATTTTTAGAATTATTTTTATCAAATATTAGAAACTAATAAAAAAGAATATAATAAAAAAAGAAGAATTCTTTCTATCATAGCAGAAAATTTTTCATATTTTGATGAAAAAATTGAAAATAGATAAAAATTAATAAAAAAATCTAAAATATGCTATATAATATATGCCTTCATTATTTAAATAGGTTATAATTTATAATACAACGGATAAAGTTTAAATAAACTCGCACTGTAAAAAATTACTTAACAGACAAAGTATCATGATCATATACGGCCGTGTAATTATTATGTTCACGTTGATAAATAATCAAAATTATTGTTTAATTTATAATGATGATTGATTAGATTTAGTTATTTAATGGGCAAAATTAATTTGATATTTAAATATTTCGATAAAATCAATTTTAATCTCAAAATTCAAATATTTATTATATAAAAAATAATACAACGGGGTTTCTTTTTTATATGAAATTGGGTATCACTCGACATGCATCAAGCAAGTCAGATGACTATCACATATAAAACTTTCAAAGTTTGTTAATCATATACACCGAGTTAGCTTATAGCCGTAATTGACGGCTCCTGTGGTAAGAATTTAAAAGAGAATGTTGTCATTTTGTCAGCTAATAACAGATCTAAACTACTTTGCTTTCTATTAGAAAAAATAGTGACTGTTTAGTCGTACAATGGGACAAGCTGATTCACGTCCTTTACAAGAAATGGTTGATAAAAGCAATTGTATACATTTTAAAATTACTTTTTTACAAAAAATTATTACAATAATATACAGGATCTAATGTATATTAATTTATAATTAGTCACTCCTGAAGAGATCCAAAGACTCTATAAAAGGTTTATGAAACTCGACAAAGATGGTTCGGGTTCCATTGACCGAGAAGAATTTCTTTCAATTCCACAGATTGCAAATAATCCTTTAGCATCAAGGATGATTGCTATATTTGACGAAGATGGTGGTGGAGATGTAGATTTTAAAGAATTCATTTCTGGCTTAAGTGCCTTTAGTGCAAAAGGAAATAAAGTCGAAAAATTGCGTTGTAAGTTTTTATTTTTTATTTTTATTTTTTTTTTGTTTATATTTCAAAAGCAAACTAAAAGTCATGGTTTGGTTCTTTATATAGTCGCATTTAAAGTTTACGATATGGACAGAGATGGATTTATTTCTAATGGAGAACTGTTTCTTGTTCTAAAAATGATGGTTGGAAATAACCTTAAAGACAATCAACTCCAACAAATTGTTGATAAAACTATCATGGAAGCAGATAAAGACATGGATGGAAAGATTTCTTTTGAGGAATTTTGTTCAATAGTAGAATCTACTGACATTGCAAAAAGTTTAACTTTAACTGAATTCTAAACAAAAAAAAAAAAAAAATATATATATATATATATATATATTAATTAATTAAATTCAGAGAAATTGTGGCTTGTTTCTATCACATATTTTAAAAATAATTTATTCAATCACCCTTATTTTGATATGAATTTGCTTAACATTGCAAATAAATAGCTTAATCCAACTTTATTTGAAATTAATAAATGCCTTGTGTAAATTATTAAAGGTTTACCTATGAAAACTTGAGGTTAGTTAATGAGGATTTTAAAAAAAAATTATTTTTGGAATGAAAGCGATACATACTTAACTAGTCGCTTTTTAATCTTATTTATTAAATAATCTCTTCTGATAATTATGTGTTGTCAACTTTGTATCTTTTTTGTATCTTCGATATGCTTCACGTAAATGTTCTGGTGATAGAGAACCGGTTTCTCCCCATTCTTGTCTAACATCAAGAGCTTTTATGATTAAAAAACAAAATAATAAGTAGATGTTTGAAATTTTTAATGTACTTTTTTTTTTTTTTTTTATTTCTTTATAAAGACCTTTCTCGATAATTTCACCCACGAAAACTTTGGCAAAACCAGCTACAACTATTGACATGTTATGTGAACATGGATGACCAAGTATTTGCCCAACCATCTAATTGATGATAAATCAGTTGTTAAAAATAAATAAATAAATAAATAAATTTAAAAAATTAAATAAGGAATAATATCAATTACCCTTTTAACATTTGGTTTACTTAGCGCCGAACGTCTGTAAACTTCATATCGTTTTAATTGTTCCTCAGAAAAGTTATCCAATAACATTCTAAATGAAAGAATACGTGATCAATATCGGTTAAGATACAGACTCATTTAATCATTTTGTTATTTACTTGAGTTCCTCTTTAGTTCTCGTTTGACTCCATTCAGCATTTTCGGTTCCACCCAATTCATCATCAGCATCATCTTCCTCTTCACCCTCTCCTTTATTATCAATTGCTTTAGAAGTACCAGCTTCTGCAAGATCATTTTCAAACGTATATTGATCAAGTTCTGAGCCGGGTGTTGGAGGTACAGAAAAATAAGCGTCACGAGGCGTAGAAGGTGTTGTACTTGGTGCAGGCGTTGTAACAGATGAAATCGCTCCATCAAAGTTGTCTTGCTGAGTTCTTTGTGAGGAGGTTAATTGTTGACGTTGTATACTCAATTTACGCCCTCCACCGACACCGGCGCTTCCCCTTCTGCCTCGTGTAGTGCCTCTAGTGGTTCCTCCACGTCCACCGCCTCTTGTAGATTTTGAAGCCGCACCAATACTACCACCACGTTTACCACCACCTCTACCTGTTGCATTAACAGGCGTTGAACTTGTTTTTGTTAGTTTTGGTCTTTTTGCAGCTCCTGTCGAGGTAGAATTTTTCCGTGATATGGTGAAATCTGGTGCTGGCCGTTGGTCCATTTTATAAAATCAGAAATATAATCTAGTAAAAAGCTATAAATGAAAAAACAAAAAAAAAAATGTATATGAATAAAATTTACTTTATTGCTTAAAGTCTTTATTTATTACCAAATACCAAGTTATTGGTTCGAATGACCAATTTGGTTAACCATACATAAATAGTGCAGCGCATACAACGATTTACCTCCTCCCCCCCTTATCCAACAGAACCTTTTCGAGTAAAATGAAACACGTTTTAAGTATTGTTAGTTTAGCTTTATTTTTAGTACTTATACTTATTAGTTTCCCTAATGAAATTGGCGAAGTTCCGGAACAAGATGTTGCACGTTGGACTAAATATCCGGCATGGCATCCTAAAATTATCGGTTTGTAAAAAATAAATATTTATTATTTTGAACATTCTTTAAAATGTCTCTCATAATTGAATCATATATATAGATTATGATCTTGAAATAGCTGATTCTTTAGTTTTATTGGCAATCGTGCTTACTAGTTGTTCAGCTTATCTTACGTTAAAATGGTCATATAAACCACCAAAAAATAAAAAATATGTCACATATTTTTATAAAGATGGAATAGCAACCCCAACGACAGGTTTTACTATTTTATTATCTTATTATATATTAATAACTGGAATGGGTGAAATTACTTATTGGACATTAGATGTCGGTAAATTATGGAGTGTTACTGGTGTATTACATAATGTCTTGGAAATTGCGATTTTAATCTTGCTACATAACGGAGGAAAATTGCAATCAAACTTGACTTTTGCTTGGTTGGGAGGGTATATTTTATTGGTTACTATATTAAGCATGAAATTAACGTGGCCTTACGACGGTATTTGGTTTAAAATCCAAGGTAAAACATTATTATTTATAATATATATATTTTTTTAAAGGTTGCTTGCTAATACTTTGAATTATTTAGGTCTTTGTCCAGATTATGCTGTAATTATTCAGTTTGTTCGTGTTTATTTCTCAACGCGTAAAAATCTTCGAGAAGCAAATGATGAACAGCTTCCCTTAAACAATCAAGCTTTACCCTCTGTTTCACAAAATAAATTTTCTATTGATGAATTTTTTCCAAATTATGTTTCTCATCCGAATCAGATTATATTATTGATCTTAGGTTCTATAATTCATTTAATTGGTAATATTGCAAATAGTATTTGGATACGAAGTGCCTTAGCGTAAGTTATTTTATTTTATTTTATTTTCTTTTTTTCACTTATATACGCACTCATTAGATTTATTCATTCATGTTAGGTTTTACATATTTCAATTAAGTTATATTGTAACTTGGCCTTTTTATGCTTATTATATTTTTGTTGATACTCATTGTGCTGGTATGTTTCAGCAAAAGCGTATTTATTTACCTGAAACCAGACGTTGGAAGGTTATTTTTGTTACGATTTTGACTATTACGTTGAGTATTGGTACAGTTAGATTTGCTCTGTTTGTACAAAATCAAGAAGCAAATTAGAATAGAGATGATTATTTGTTTTATTTTTAAATAAAAAACTATTATTGAGACGAATTTTTTTTAAAAATAAATTTTGTATATTGGTTTCATTTTAGAAATATTTTGTTTATTAAAAATTTTTAAATTATTACATGCGATTTAAAATAAATGCGAAAAGTTTTTTTTTTCATTTGTAAAATCACCTTAAACCTGCCAATTATGTGAACAGGAAAAACAAATCTTTAGGACAAGGGCTTAATCTCAGCAGATCGTAGCACTAAGGCTACTCTACTGCTTACAATACCCCGTTCTTTATTTAAGTCGTCTGCAAAGGATTTATCTCACCCAATAT